TCTGATTCTGATTCTGATTGATTCTGATTCTGTAATAAACCGAACATGTCAAATATGTTTAGACTGCAGCAAATATGATCAAGAAAGGAGGGAATTAATATCATATTAGAATATTTGATGAGGGACATATTATTACATTTACCAATGTTTAATTTATTATTTAGAACAGGAATAACAAAGAGAATGTAATTATTTTTATTTTTTTCTTTGTTTCCTGCCAACCTACTGTCAGTCCAGTAGGTGGCGGTAATGCGCCTATAACCTGATTCACCAACCTCCATTAAAACCCAAAGAAGAACATAATTCATGTTCCGTTTCCAGGGCGACTCAGTTGGCGGTCAAAAAGCGCCAAATCAAAAATACAGAGGGACAACAGTGATTATGTGAAGGGTCCGTGGAAGTCTCTCAGTATCAAACGCTGCTCATATTTGTGCCTTTAACGTTGACCTATTTACTAACGAGTCAGTTTACCGTTCCAGTTAAAGACTCGTTTAGTTTGATAAAGAAAAACAACATGGAGGAACTCTTCAGCAAAGTGTTACAAGTGAACGTGAGGTGCAGGGACTGTGAGGAAAGGTAAGACTGCGGACGTTGACATTAGCTAGCGTACGTAAATCAGAGAGTACCGGTACATTTCAACTGTAGACCAGGGCGAAGACATCTTAATGTGTCATCTTAATATTAGCAATTGTTTGCATTGTTTATTAGTACAAAACAAAAGATAGAATATTAATATGACGCCTTAGCTTAAGTATACATTAACAATGGTGACCAACCTTGATGTTTAATTGTAATCTGTTAGCTACACAGCAACAGGGGCAAAGCCAGATGTCAACATTCGGGGCTTAGTCCAAATCTAGGGGGACCGGGGGCATGCTCCCCCATGGAATTTTTTTAGTTTACAGCAGCCATACCTCACTTTTTTTGGGCTTTTATTGCCTTTATGATAGTGACAGTTGAAGAGAGACAGGAAAGGGGGGCAGAGAGAGGGAATGACACACAGCAAAGGGCTGCAGGTCGGATTCGAACCCTGGGCCGCTGCAGCAAGGAGTAAGCCTCGGTACATGGGTCGCCAGCTCTACCCACTGAGCTAACCCATACCTCACTTTTTTGTCTACAAAACGACCACGCCCCCTTTTGGATAAAACAAGCCTGTAAAAGTGCCTAATGGTACCTTGCCTAAAAGCTGCTGCTTTGCCTTTTGCCCATCAAGCAATAATAAAAAAAAGTTTACAATTTCGTTTACTTTCCTAATTACCGAAGGACAGTTAAAGAGTGATCTGTGGTTTTAGGCAATCCACAAAGTGGATAAAAATGGTAAATTGTGGGACCCGGAAAGTCAGTATGTGTTCGTCTGTGGCAAACACTTCATCACAGGTTAGTTAATGATCTTACTGAGTAAATGACATGTATGCTGATTGTACCTGTACATTGAAGTGAATCAGTAAAGAGTCTTGGTGATGGTGTAAATAAGATTTTACAAAGAAAAAATATGGCCCTTCAATAAAACACCCCTGCTTTTAAAGTGGAGTTTAGTTTAGACAGTGTGGAGTTGAGGGTATTTTAACCATAATAATTCACATAAACTGAGCTGACCTAACTTTTAATAGTTAACCTTGTAAACAGCATAAAGTAACGTAGGAAGTGGAGATAAATCCAACATGTTTTCTACTTTTGTCGGCTTGTAGTAAAAGGTTGATTAATAACTAAAAACAGGCATGTAATTAGTTTACAGGAAAGCTACATTGGACAGACAACCAAAGAAGAAAAATAAAGAGTCTGAACGGCAGAAACAGCGACAGATGTCACAAATATGAGATTCAGTAAGGCAGCTGTATATGTCAGGACACTCATCAGTAACTATTTCTGTATTTTGTCTATATAATGAAAGTGATCGTTGATCAGCATAATTGTTTGCCTTGCTGGCTATAGGATTTGGGCTCCCAATAGCAAAAAAGCAGTTTAGTATTCTTATTTGTTTTATCTTTTTCATTCTTTATTTAAATTGGCAAAGACCTCAGAATTTACATTTACTGCCAGTCAAATTGGAGGGAACGCTTTCACCCAAAAAGGGGCGGGGGCTCGGCGCCAGTTGAGATGATAGATTGTCTACATATCTGTACATCATTTGGGAAAAACAAGATAGTAAGATAGAAAAAAAACCAAATCATCCTATTTTATGTCAAATTATTCTCCAACTGTCTTCATCAACCTGAAACCAGAACACAGCATCGGCATTGCTTTTTAAAAAAAAGGTTTGAGTGCCAAAAAGAGTACTAGTTGATGTCAGTTGTGTGAAACATGTCAGAAGCCATGTTTAAATGGTTTGAGATGATTCTGCCAATAATATCTCTCTCTTTTTTATTTATTTTTTATTGGTGGCATATATGATACATTGGTGATATTGATTACTATGTGACATCAAACTGAATACACATACAAATAACGTACAGCAAGACAAAATATGAAAGTTTCCAAATTGTAAACAATAACAGGATCAGTATGGGCAATATGAATGTCTGTGAGGTATGGCAAAGAGGAATAACATAATTAGAAGGGAAGTAGTATCTATTTATGTGTTAAGATTACATACACATACAGTTTGAAGTCAGATTGTTAATTACAACATTAACGGTTTAATTTTACAGGAAAGCAAATATCCGTGTCACCATTGAGCTTCAGTTGACAACAAGTCCAGTACACAAAAGGGTGAGTAGGAGTTTGACATGACACAAGTTAGAAAATGATGTCAAAATAGCTAGCGCTCAACTCTGTACACTCCAGACCTTTATTGTATAACTGTTATTAAAGACAGGGTTTCTTCCAGGCGACTAACTTTCTGTTGTTTTTGTTTATATCAGGATCTTATAGTAAAACTAACAGATGATCTAGACCCATATTTTCTCTTCAACCTCTCTATATCAGAAGAAGATTTCCAAAGGTAAGTATTGGTAGAATTGTATGAATTAGGTTTCTCAGTGTTTGAATTTAGGATGTCATATACAAGCTTCCTTGTAACTCTCACTGATGTTTTCTTTCTCTCTCATTGTGTAGTTTGAAAGTCCAGCAGGGGCTGCTGATAGACTTTGCGTCATTTCCCCAGAAGTTTATTGACCTGCTTAATCTGTGCTGTTCTGAACAACAGTCAGACAATCCAAGGTACAATGAAACGCAAACCACCACATGACATCACAGCTTTACAATATGTACTCAGGGTTCTCACGCAGTATGGAAAAATATGGATTTTGATTTTTAGTCATTTCCAGATCTGGATAAGTCTTGAAAAAGAGAGTATAGAAAAATATTTGTGTTTCCAGACTCTTGCCCCTATTATGTTTTATAAAATATAAATTCCTTCCCTTCCCTTCTTCCGCTTGGCTGTCTTGCCTGAAACATCTGTGTGACAATATTAAAAAGTCAAATTGGAATGCTGTCCTGGTCCTGTCTTTAGTATTATTAAAAACAATAAGGATCCAGCAACCAGCGTTGTGAATAAATTGAACAGCTGGCTTAACAACTCTGTCCCAAGTCAAACAAATCCAGATGCCTGTGACTGAATACATTTGTATGGGCTGATATTTGTGCCAGAAGAAACTGAATTTGAATCATTTAGAACTGAATCTGAAT